ATGCTGCAGACCCTGCATACCGCTGTTCTCTTCTTATTAGCGTCATCGACAACATAATCCTTGAATTCAAACTTCACTATTTGTGGAGTAACGCTAGCCGCTGCCATGTTAACTGACGCTCCTGTCTTCTAGTGCAGGGGTTTTCAAAGTGTGGGAAGGTGAGCCTCCCCTCAGAGAACATAAGAACAGCCGCGCCCCCCCTCCCAATTATTATTGCTATTATTATTATTATTATTGTTGTTGTTGCTATAATGCAGGGGTATTATCATCCAGTGGAATGCCCTTACCTACTGGCCTAGTTAAATCAAAGTGGTTACTTATTTTTGTCTGGGCAGTGTAGTTTTACACACCATCTTATTTGACTTTCTCAGGACAGACCCCCACAAAGAAAAAAATATATGTACAGTTTTTTATGCTCGAGTCATCCGTGAGCAGAGCATCAAGTTGGCATGCCTATTACAGCTGAATGCGGCGATTACCATCTTGTTCAGCAAAACGCCTCACAAACGTATTAAGATCCAAAGCTTTAGTGCGTTTTGATTCAATGCTGAGTACAGCCAAACTTGACAGTCTCTTCTCTGTCATTGTAGACCGCTAATACCTTATTCCTTCCGTGTACTTGGGTCCGAATGCTTCTCGTTTTCTGCGGCCCGTTCAATTGAAATCGCCGCCAATCACATTTCCTCGCTCGCGCCAGGGTTACAAGGCTCGCGTCTTGTGCTGCATTCACTTGCACTCGGACATCAGGGATTTTCTCTGATAAATGTCCGATGAGCCACAACTTTTATTTCAAAACAAAGCTGCCAACTGGGGTGGCCAGACGCTGTCTCCTCTCTCACTTTAGGTAACTTCACTAAAAATCGATCCATGTTGCCGCTCGCATAAAGTTAGCTGAAGTTAACGAGCTAGATTTCACTGTTTCTCTTTATTTTTTTCTCACACTGCGCCTCCCCTGAAGCTCTCTGGCGCCCCCCAGGGGAGGCGCGCCTCACACTTTGAAAACCGCTGTTCTAGTGGGTTGCCAGGTTTGCGCGCACGGTGCTATAATCACCCAATCACGTTTTTCGAAAAAACTAAACGTAATATCTCACTACAAAAACAAATGCAAATATTTAATTTTAAACAGTCAAGTCCTTTCAAGTCATCTGTCTCAAGCTTAAGTCAAGTCTCAAGTCATGAATACCAAGTCAAAGTCAAGTCAAGGCTTTTATCAATGTTAGTCAAGCAAGTCTCAAGCAAAAAAATATGCGACTCGAGTCTGACTCGAGTCAAGTCATGTGACTCGAGTCCCCACCTCTGCTACATACTGATATACACCTGAACATCAGCAGGAGAGGACTCTTTAAAGTAGAGACACTACATACTGATATACACCTGAACATCAGCAGGAGAGGACTCTTTAAAGTAGAGACACTACATACTGATATACACCTGAACATCAGCAGGAGAAAACTCTTTAAAGTAGAGACACTACATACTGATATACACCTGAACATCAGCAGGAGAGGACTCTTTAAAGTAGAGACACTGCATACTGATATACACCTGAACATCAGCAGGAGAAGACACTGCATACTGATATACACCTGAAAAATTGCTTATTAGGGCCACTTTAAATTAAAAAAGCCCGTCTGCTGTGCTTAACCTGTTTTTTTTGTTTTTTTATTAATTATTTTAATTTTTTTTTTTTTCTTTGGATGGAATGAATACCTATGGTGATAATTCAATGTAATACATCATTTTTATAGTCTGGTACCTGAAAAAGGTCAAATGGCACTGATGGAACCAGATGTACCCAAATGTGCCGAAAGCTTATTCCGCCTGGAACTTTTTTTTGCTAAACCTCTCTAAAAAGGTCAAATTTAACTTGTTTTGCCTCAATCTCGATACAGGGTACTTATTATATGTTATAGTTTGGATTCCTAAAGCTTTTAGTCTACCATCCCATCATTCAAGGGTGGTTTTCACTATAAGTAATGTGTTTTCTTTAGGCAGAGGTAAGAATTTACCTTTTTTTACTATGTTCCATCTGAATTGACTCTGACTGAGAAAAATCTATATTGATTCTGACACTTCTACATCCAACTCACAGAGGTAACCTTGCTTTGATAAAAGAAATTATTCATATAACCCTTTTAGAAGTGAAGTTGTAGTCATCTGTTTTGGGCATGTCATTTTCGAGCCTGAAACCTGAAAAACAGGCTCGGGGCTTAACAGGTTAAATACAACCTCTTAGAGCTAGCGTGGCATTAGATTTAGTCTTAGGTGTTTGTCTCTGCACAAACACAGCCTGAAAAATCTATATTGAGTTGTTTGGATACATTAACACTCCTACACATGACTGCTAGAAGTGTAAATTATTAGGTTTGAGTATATCTGAACACACCACACACATCAGACTCTACCTCGTCCTTGTGTCTCCACGGGACAATTTCAGTTATCAAAAACAAGCAGACAGCTGTCAGACTCTGAATAAAAGATTTAGCTCCAAGCAGACGGAAAATAAAGGAGTCCTTACAGTAGCATGAAGGCCTCGGTGATAATACTCTGGGAAAAGGATGAATTTTTAAAGGCTTCGAGCGGACCTTAAAGGTAGCGTCTCTATATCCCTTTACCTATCCGTCTAGGAGGTGAGGATTATGAATTGTGTATGACATACTGTGTGCATCAGGCTTTCTGTGGGGCTAGAAAGCGAGGAGCCTTGTGCGAATTGTCTCCTTTGAAAATGAGAAATGAAGAATCTTTTGATAGAAACTCGAGAAACATGTGCGTTCGTTCATATAATCTGAGGTTACCAATGTAGGTCACAGTGACGTTTAAACCAAGTGTTTCTTTATTTACAAAGTGATGAAATGCTTTGCCACTTCCCCAGCTTGTTTCTGAAAAGACAAAGCGTTCACACAGAGAGCAATCACAGAGCAGTTGTACACAGATTGATCTTACACCATATATAAAATAGCAATTAATTACAAAATGATGCAAGACAGCGGTACATCTGTTCGGAGGAAATCTCAAAATCGAGGTAGAAAAAGCACGCACTGCTTTGAATGGTGACATTTGACGACAAAAGTTCAAATGAATGATTCAAGAACGTTTGTATTCTTAAAGTGAAACTGCAGAGTTCATCAGCTTTAGTTGAGCTGCGTAAAACCAATAAGGTCAGCAGCCAAATGTTGAGTAAAAAATAAAAGGCAAAATAACGACAGTGAAAAATGTCCACAGTATCTGACACATATTGTATTGAGTTCATTTGTATTTCAAGTGTGCGATAAACACTGTATTCTGCTATAAATAATCTCTTATGGTTTATTTTTACAGTGGCATGTGTACGGTGTCCGACAGGTGCAAATGCAAAGGTCAAAAATATTTCCAATAGTAGCAACGCGCTGCAGTTTCAAAAACGATGCAAATATCAAAACACAAATGTGGCGAAACACATGCAGATGAATAAAACATCTTCACCGACTCACAAAACTTGCACAATTACTAAAAGGCTGCATAATCGAAATTCTGCAAGAAACTCAAAACACAATGGAAACGGGGGGACACTAAAAAGTGACGCACACAGCTGGGACCGGAGCGCTTGTTGACGTTCGGGGTTTATAAAGTTAGCCAACCTGCATAGCCGCGGGAAGTAGAGGTGCTGGAGGTGCTGCAGCACCCCCTGTTGACGAATGGTGTACATTTGAAAAACTGATTTTTCTTTATAAATATGGACATTTTGTGCACAAATTGAAATGCCACTGTCAATGTGGTTTGTCATTATTGATAGGGCTTTTTTGCCGGTTACTATTATGTTCATGTTACTGTTGAAATCTCTCCCCACTTTTGGCCGCACCCCTTAAGTAAAATGACTTCCCGCGGCTATGCCAACCTGTCTCTGTTGTTGGAAACTTACCTAAAATGTGAGTTTTAACGCCTTTTTTTTAACAATGTGATCACATGACTCCCTCCAATATTATAGCGGATCTGCTGTAAGCTTACGTAGCTAACCTAGTCATTTCAAATATACTGACAAAACACTTACAAATATGAAACAGACTATCTTTGCCAACAGAGACAGTTTGTCCATCTTTATATTCCTGAACGCTCCGGTCCCAGCTGTGTGCGTCACTTTTTAGCGTCCCTGTTTCCGTTGTGTTTTGAGCTTCTTGCAGCACTTTTAGTAAACGCTGCTCATGTTTCCTCAAGTTGCCAAATGTTATCTAAACGCTGCGCATGTTTGCATGTGTTTTCGCACATTTGTGTTCTTGTATTTGCTTGGTTTTTTAAACTGCTGCGCGTTTCTCTTAATGGAAATGTTTTGGGCCGTTGAAGCGCGTTTGCACTTGTCGGTAAAAATGTGTTTCGTGCAGACACTAAACAAACTACTTTCAATTTATTTTCATAGCAACAAATACTGAGGTTTAATGAATGGAAAATGTTCCCCTTCATTCTGCATTTAACACCATTTTGTCCACCCACCTCCTCTCGCTTGGCATCAACACATGTTTTGTGAAACAATCAAAGTGCTCCTGTTAAATTTAGTGAGAGGACCAAATGGAAAAGTATAACTGGAGTCAAAGTGATATAAATGTAAATGTAATCATGGCACAAAGCACAAAAGAGCTCAAAGTGTATACTCTGTCTGAAAGGAATCTGTGATGTCTCTAATGGGTGTTTTGATGAAGAAACTGTGCCACATAAACAAATGTTTTCCCTTATCAAACATCAATTTCACTAATGTACACAGATCTGTTTGCTTCTGTTCCCTTGATTAATTGTGTTTACATGTCATTTCCTTTGTCACTTCATTACCCTTCCATTAATCCAGGATTGGTGGCATTTGCACAAAAGCGCTGTCGACATGAATAGCCCATCATGTGCGCTCCATGATTTTCTTTCCAAAAATAGAAAGACTGGGACACACACACACACAGAGGGATGTGATTTGCAGAGAGACCAGAAAGCCACATACAGCAACTCCTCTTCTGTCAGTCTTATCTTCACGCTGTGTTCAACATCCCCCTTTAAGCACCAGGTATACAATCACAAGGCCTCCAAACCACCCTTTTTTTGACAGTCAAACCTCAGCTTTTTAAACCTTGAGAGCCTCGTGGACGCCCACAGCGGACAGTCTGCGGTTGATGTTTCGATAGCGACAGCGGAGAAGGTCACGGTAAGTGGAGCGCAGGTCTCTGTTGAAGAAGGCGTAGATAAAAGGGTTCATTAGGGAGTTTGCGTATCCCAACCAGAGCAGCGTTCGCTCCAACCAAATTGGAACGCAGCTACACTCAACGCCACAAATAAATGGCCTGGCGGTGGAAAGGATGAAGAACGGCAGCCAGCAAACGCCGAAAACCCCGACGATTACGCCCAACGTGGTCGCTGCTTTCTGCTCTCGCTTAAAGATGGAGATGTTTCTTCGCTCGCGGTTCAAAAGGCGGGAAATGGCGGCACATTCCTCCGCCACGCCACCCGGCTTCATTCCGTGCATCCTCAACGCCTCGTTAGCCACCGTGCTGAGACGCTCGCGGCGAGAAATGTCAGTGAAGCGATGTTTGGCGCCACTTTTACGCGCCGCCTTGAAGATCTTGTAGTACATGACCAGCATGACCAGCATGGGGATGTAGAAAGCGACGGCTGTGGAGTAGATGGTGTAGCCGAAGTCTTGGCTGATGAGGCACACGCCGGCTGTGTGCACGTTTTTGGCCCAGCCGCAGAAAGGTGGCAGCGTGATGGAGGCCGACGCCAGCCACACGCCCAGGATCATCTTCGCCATCAGCTGACCGTTCTGCCGCGCCGGATAGGTGAGAGGCCGCGTGATGCCCAGATATCTGCGGGGAGAGGAGACAGAAGAACATCAGTAACAACCTTTACAGTTTTACATTTATATTAAATTTAATATGCCATTCCTTGCACTCTTAATGTCAATAATATCCTGCTTTTAAATTGTGTTAGCTGGAATTTGGCCCTTCACCATTTGGTCTTCAGATATATATCTTCCACTGTCATTATGTATATATTTTACTTTACATTTCTGTTTTTATTTTCTATTTTGAGATGTTTATGTCTGTTTATTTCGTTCTCCTTTCTATTTTCACATTGTATGCAATGCCTTGTTTTAACATGCTGCTGTAACGAAAACATTTCCCAATTCAGGATCAATAAAGTATATCTTATCTTAAAATAATAAATAAGCAGTATTTTATGTCACTCTAAAGCATTTTATTTGATATTCTATTTTTGGCTCATCTCATTATTTCTTATTTTTTGCGCAAAGTTAACTTCTCCTGCATTAATTGAACATTACTCTTGCAAAATTGTATTTCTACTCTTTAAAATCCTGATGAGTGACTAAATGAAATTTTTAAAAGTTGGCTTACACATGTTTTCTAAAATGTTATGTTAAAAGAAATTGTATTTAAAACTTTATTAGTGGATTTGGGGAATATTTACAGTAAAAAATAGACAAAGTTTGTCAAAGAAAAGGCTCAATATGTATTTTGGATATGTTCTTGCTCGTGCTCAGAATCAAAAAAATGACCTGTGATAGAACAAACTATATTTTCCTGCATTGTCTCGCCCCACCTTGTCCAGTACGGTAGGTTTATCACAGTAAAACCAAGAATGTATTTTGAGTTTCTTCATGAAAAGCACTAAGACCCCCTGCTGATACACAACAATCTGCTGCCTGTCTTCTTTGGGTTGAAACTGCAGGGAAGTGACATAAAAGACATGGCTGTCAATTCAAAGACGGACATTTCAATGAGAGGTCATAAGCTCTGCCGCTGCCTGCAGAGTCATTAGCTGCTTTCCTTCAGCTCTGGGAAAGCTTAGCAGATGGAGAGCGAGCTATCAGTCAAACAGACGTGCTTTCAAATAGCTGCTGGAGGTGTCAGGGAAATAAAGATAAAGCGAGGTGTGAAAGCTTTAATTTGTACAAAACCGTGGAAGTTGCCACAATTCTCACATAATGACAAATCTGTGTGTACATCTCATCGAGTTTTTGGCAGTATTCCCACAGCCTTCTTGAGCATCGAATGCGTCATTGATGAAAGCTGTAGATCTGAACCCCCCCCCCTTTGGCTGTTTTTCTAGTTTCCGTCTCTATTGTTAATCACAAGATAAAAAGCTTTAGGGAGCACTGGCCAATTCGCGTCGTCGTCCATCAGCGATGAGATGCTATCAGCGCCGATCCAATTCACCTCAGTCAGCCCAGGTGGCATTCTTCACTTTATAAACGACTTTAAGATGTTGAAGTTAATACAAGTGTCTGGAAGTTTACACATTTTACTTCCTGAAGCACCGTTTTGTGCTTGTTACAAATGCCATGGGGCTGTGTGGAATCTGTGCTTCATATTTTTGTACATTCAGATAACAGGACAGGGGTAATTACACGACTTTGTTTTTTAGTTTTGGTGATGGCAACATGAGTCGGAAATCCAGTCCAAAACGTTGGTGGTACCCGGTACAAAACAGCAAGTGATTTGCAAACCAAATAGTACTTATCCAAATGTTTTGTTTGCCAGAAAAATAAGGCACTTTAGCCCAGTATTTCTACTACACACTCATATTGTTAACAACTGACAACACATAGTAGTAATGTAGATCGGATCCATTTGCAAAGGACAACAAGGCTACAACTACACTGCAAAAAGCTTGATTATATTCCCAACACAACACCACAATCCCTACTCTACACACACACACACACACACACACACACACACACACACACACACACACACACACACACACACACACACACACACACACACACACATACTCAAACATATGTGATACAGATCTGATGGTTTTTAATCAGCTTAAAAAAGATGCACGAATCATGATTAATTTTTTTTAGTTCCTATCAGGACCACTTGTATAAATCGACTACATGCCACTCATCCCATGATTCTGTCAACATTGCAATGATGAACACGGATAAAACTGTCATTTATTTTAAGACAGGTATCATATTTTGTCACTCCTGGCAAGCGGAGTGGACGAGTTTCATATACCAGTGGTTCCCAATACGGGGTATTAGCGCCTCATACGGGGCACCAGAAATCAAAGTGGATGTACCCAGATTTGTCTTTTTAAAATTCGATTTGAACATGTTTAACTATAATCCTTATTAGGGACGTGCACAGTTACGGGCTAATGTTGCCCGGACAACAGCCCGTTTGCCCTTTTTGGCTGACCTGCCCCTCTGGAGAGAGGTGTGGCCGAATCAACATGATAAGCCCCACAATTAGTATTGTAGCGTCTCGCTGCGGGAAACACACCTTGTCAGCGCTGTCATCTGCCCCCAGTCACGTGACTTTGTTTACAATCTGACAGCTGGAAGCAAAGGAAAGCCCTCTGAGTCCGGCCTCATATCGCTATGGTGATCATACCACATGCCTGCCTGGCTTTGGTGGCCAATCCCCGGGTCAATCTGTCCCCGGAAATGTCCCTGTTTTTAAATAGGCCTATGCTTATATTGATTTTGAGTTTTCTCATGGCAGTTAGAGGGGACAAACAGGGGACTTTACTTCCTCTTGACACCGTCGGTTATTTACCAAAAAAACACCTAAATATACTTGTTATTGTGCTTCTGTCTTTCTGTGTCTTTTCATCTGCTCCATAAACTCCCTCAACGGGCCGCTCTCTCTCTTTTGTTGATCGCCCTCTCATATGGGAGAACAGTTCAATGTCCCGCTTTATTGTAGGATTTCTGCCATGTCTCTACCCCTTTAGTTTGACCATCTCTGATATTAAGTTATTGAATACTAAATAAATAAGTAATTAGATACCGTTACTGCGCTCATAAAGAATGATAAGAATAAGAATAATGCGTATTGAACTGGTTTCATTAATTAGTGAGTTTATTTAAGGTAATTAGTTAGAAGCCGTATTTTATCAGTATGTCTGCACAGCAGGTACAATGGTCAAACTACATTAAAACAGAATTGTCCCCATTTTTTCTTTAATAGTTACTAACATTAGATATTTTACTGAGATATGGACCGCAAAACAAAAAATGTGCCTGAATAACGAATTTAGCAGTTGGACATAAAAGTCAACTGAGTGTCACATGCAATGACATTGTTGTGTTTTTATTTTATGAACCTTTTACATTAAAAACAAGTTAACATTTTCAAAAGGTCTTGTGTTTTATTTCGGGGGGGGGGCTTTTTCCAGTTTAGAGCAATAGCCCGTCCAAATGTCTGTGCACGTCCCTGCTCCTTATAACACTTGATTGATTGTTTTACAAAGAAAAATGTTTTTAAATATATAGCTTCTTTGCTGAGAGTCTCAAATAGTCAGTTTCTTAGTTGGCCCTACCTCAATAACGCTCTCAATCCCTTTCGTCAGGTTATATTGTTAGCATCTCAAACTTGTTTTTTCATGAAAGCAGAGCATCACAGTTATGTATGAAAAAATGTGTGATGACTAAAAGTGCTGGTGACTATTCAAAAAGGGAAAATAAAGCTATATGTCAAGAGGTACTTAAACATTGGTTTTATTGAAGGACAGGTGCTTAACCTTGTTTTTCTCAGTCAGAGCATCACTGTGTTATGAATGAAAGAAAATGTCTGAGGAATGTAAGAGTGCTGATGACTAACCAGCATCAAACAATAAAGTAAAGCTGTATCTTGAAAGTTACATAAACTTTGGTTTTGTTGAAGGACATGCACGTCTAGACCAGATTGTGGCATATGTAAAAGCTAGCAAACAAGAGCAATTCAACAAGCAACATGAACATCAAGAGGTTGGTTAAGTTAAGAAAAAAAGGTAAAAACAGTTGGCGCTATCAAAATGATTCACAGACATCATAAAAACAAAATGACGTAGAAAATGTGAAAATATGGCTTTTTATATCTACAAGTTTCAAGGAAAAAGATGAGAAAGATCACAAAGCCAAATACACATCCTTCAATTCAGTCAAAAAAAGAAACTTACAATCTATGTTTGCATTGCTGTATGTTCATTCTGGTAATGAATATAAGTGACATGAAAATAAATGTCATTCCTTGGCAGTAACTTGATTGATTGCCACTTAAAAAACTGTACCGTTGACTTTAATTAATTGTATTATGTCAACATATTCCACATAAAAGTAGTAGGTTAGTTGAAAACAATAATATTAAGTTTACATAAGAAAAATTAGGTTCAACTTAATATTATTGCTTTCAACTAACCTAATACAGTTATGTGAAAATTGTTGACATAGTGAATTTAATTAAAGTAAACGTTTCACTTTGTTCAGTGTATTATAAACACTATCAATGAGTTGTCCTTAAAGATCCCTTGGGTCAGGTTAGTTGAATATTTCATTATTACTTGTGTTTATTCAACTCCAATTCCCTCCAACCACTGATCTTCCTAATTTACACGCTCACTTAAAATGTTCTTAAGCTCTACGAGAGGGCTGAGCACACCCAAGCGAACGATGTCAAATAAATACAAGACAGATCCGGAGATGAGTACACTGCATGCTGTGGGAATTCTTAGGATACATAATGGAATCCCAGTAATGCAACACTCTCCTCTGAATGCATTATTCAATAAGAGGAAGGTCGACGTGGTGCTTATTTGGGGGGATTTGAGTGTGTGGGTGGGGGGTGGAGGGCAGTTCTCCTCAAACCTGTGACTCATCTGCAGCCCTTTAATGCTGCAGAGCGGTTTTCACTCTCATTGGATTCAAAATGCTCTCACCATCCTTTGGAGACAAACAACTGCCAGGTTGGATAAGACAGCATGCATTTTAACACTTCATTACACAGCATCCTGCTCGTATTTCAGCAGGAGGAAGTGATGCCAACATCTGTGGGACCTCGGGTTAGTT